TTAGATCACCCTGTAAGTTCGTCAACGTAAATCCGAGAAGAGATTATCTTTGAGATGGTAAGAAGTTAATCCTATTGGTCTTAAATGATAAAAGGGTGTATAGGAGTGGTTAACAAGTATTAGAAGTTAAACGAATCAAGGATATTGTAACCCATATTTTTGGATTAAACTAGAGGTGCTTAATATTCTTAGGAGGTCGTGTTTTAGTTTTTTGAATCATATAATATCCGTATCATAAGTCTTGAAGTCAAACGAGTTATGAAATAAAAGTCAACAAAAGTTGTCGCAACTTACATTCATAATTTTACTTAAACTTTAGATCAAATGTTACTAAGCTTTTTTCTCAATTTACTTGGAATTACGGGGTGATATACCCATCAAATACCTATGAGTCTAGTTTCTAACGTATTAAACCGTTCATCGATACAACATCAGAGTAGAGAGATATTCACATTTTTTACGAGAATACGTAAGCAGCTCTCTATGGGACCCACATAGATGGTTGAGATAAACTGATGTATATGAGATGCCTTAAGCCTGTTTTCACTCTCTTCAGACTCTAGACACCTAAAAACTCTCTCTCAAGGTTCTCTCATGATCCAAGACCCAAACAAAGGGCAAACAACACAAATCAAGTGTCGGGAATCCCGTGGCGCTAGTAAGTTTCTTGTTCTTCTTGTTGTTGCTGGTTTTTGTGTGGTTCCAACTTGTGTGGGAGGTTGTTTTGAGTAGTTTATGTTCTGCAAAATACTCTCTCAAGTTTTTAATGTCAACCCTAGGTGATTTCAAGTCTTCCAAAGTGATTCTAGTGCCTAAAGCCCCGATTGATTGCTAGTTTTGCTTCCTTGTTCTTGTAGCAGCATTGGAAGGATATTTCATGGTGAAGTAAGGTCAAATAGGAGTTGTGCTATCTATTTAAAGGTAATTATCCTCTTACTCTACATGTATTTAAGATTATCCAAGTTACGGCTAAGTCGTTGAAGCTAGAACTTGTGAGTCATCTATCAAAAGGCTTGTTAGTAATGTTGTTGGTTGGTGGATTATTTTGGGAGGCTTAATGATTATTATTGATGTTGCTTGGGCTGCTTCGTGATTGTTTTAACTTGTGAGAAGTCATATAAATAGGGTAGGTGATGTCCGTTCCACCGTAAAATAGGTTGCGGTCGATATATAATAGTTACGACGCTTAAACGATAACGATAGCATCATTTCTCTTATTGTAGACTAAGGGTCGTGACATTTGGGTAGCTTGAGGTTGGGCAGTTTAAACAATGTATGTGAGACTATCCCTTTCGTTCTTTTGCACAACTCCAATTGTATTTAATATAATGAACGAGCTTCCAAAGATACTCCACTCTTAGAAGCTATCAGCACTTACATTGTTTCCCTTATTATGGAATGATTGATGTTGATGTGACTTATCTTATTCTTATGTTGTCAATGTTGTTGGTACTTCCTAATTCTTACAAGATCCATGACGAAGAGTTAGTCCTAATAACGTGTACGAAGGTTACCGACCTTGCTTCACTCTGAAAGGTTTAGAATGTGATTTCAATGAGTCCAACATGCATTATATATATATATATATATATATATATATATATATATATATATATATATATATATATATATATATATACCTATTTTACTCTACTGAGCCACGCTACAGTCGGCTAGGTATGGCACCTATTGTGCAACCATTGATCAGTTGGTTTTACCGAGCTCCACGTGGTCGGGTACGATTCTACTAAACCTTTTGATGGCCGGGTACGTTTTTACCGAGCCTATTACGGCTAGGTACGATATGATGATGATGATTCCCACAAAGGCGTATGTTTTTAAAAGTATATGTATACACACACACACACACACACACACACACACACACACACACACACACATATATATATATATATATATATATATATACACACACACACACATGTGTGTGTGTGTGCCATGCATTTCATGTCAGTCGCCCTTAGAGGCACTTATGTGTTACAAGTTGGATATTCTCTTTCCCTGCTTACATTATTGTTCTTGTTTATGGTTTCCTGCCTTACATGCTCGGTACTTTGTTCGTACTGACGTCTTTTTTATTTATGGATGCTACATGTCGTGCTGCAGGTCGTGATAGACAGGTAGACGCAGCTCCCCCACTACAATAGGCTACCTAGTTCAGCGATTATTGGCGAGATCCCTTCTCTGGACTTGCCGTGGTCATGGTATGAGCTTTTGTTATAGACATTATGGATATGTCAGGACCCTGTTCCGACAATTTTACAGCATTTTTTTTTCCTTTAGAGGCTCATAGGCAGGTGTCAACTCATGTATAGTTTGGATTGCCTTGTCAGCTAATTTTTATTGTATAGTCTCTCATGGCAACTTTTAGCTCGTACCTTATATATAGCTTCATGACAACCTTGTCAGCCGATGTTATGTATGTTCATACCATTATCTGTCATTGTTGGTTGTTCATGATTCATGTCTACCATTTATGTTGATCTTATAGGCCCGTATAGATAATAAAAAAGGTTAGAGAAAATGTACATTGGTACTAGGCTGGTATGGCCCTCTAGGTTGGGTCGTGACAAACGTGGTATCAGAGCAAGTCTGTCCTAGGGGTTGTCTATGAGCCGTGTCTAGTTGAGTCTTGATTATGGATGTCTAGCGCGCCACATTTATAATCAGGAGTCTACATGACATCTAGGGTTGTTACCTTGTTCCTGAATCTAGATCGTGCGTAGAGTTGAGTCGTAAGTGTTCATCTCTAAAGTTCACCTTGTTTTCTTTCACCGATGCCTTTGACTAGGAAGCAAGCAGTTAACAGACGGCTTGATACAAGTGCGGGAAAGGGTACCAGTGAGGTGCCTCTTGCCAGAGCAGGCCAAAGTGAGGCTTAAAGTGAGATGCCATCTCATACCTCATCTACTCCATCTCCTCTAAAGGATATTAGGAGGGACCCATCACCTCCAGTTCTTACGTCTGGCACTATAGACCACGATATGCGTAGTGCCGTGCAGTTTTTGACTAGATTTGTCATTGCTGAGTCTCAGAGGCAGAATACCGGTGCTGCTGATAAACCGGTTAGTGCGAGAGTTCGTGATTTTATTAATCAAGACCCTCCAGTATTTACCGGATTAGACCCCAAGGAGGACCCACGGACTTTTATTGATCATGTTCATCGTACACTACGGGTTATGCACGCTAGTGATACTGAGGCATTAGAGTTGGCTTCTTATCAGTTAGGAGATTTAGCAGTTTTCTTGTATGATAGTTGGGAGAGATCCAGGGGTTCGAACGCTCCTCCAGCTGTGTGAAAGGAATTTTCTGAGGTCGTTCTTTGTCACTACTTGCTAGTTGAGATACGACGAGCTAGGGCTAATAAGTTCTTGAACCTTCGACAAGGTAATATGAGTGTGCGAGAGTATAATAAAATGTTTGATTCTTCAGCAAGGTATGCTCCCCATAAGGTGGCCGATATGAGTGATAGGGTGCAGCTGTTCGTGAATGGGTTGGGACCATATCTGATAAATGAGTGCACGACAACCTCTTTGGTGGAGGGCATGGATATTTCCTATATTCAGGATTATGCCCAGATACTAGAGGATCGTAAGTGCCAGCAAAGGGCCGATAGGGAGCAGGATAGGGGCCATCATAAGAAGGTGAGATTTGCAGGGTATTTTGGTGGCTTCAGAGGTTGTATCAGGCCCCACTCTTCGAGGAGTTCGGCGCCACCTGTAGCTAGTGCTCCTCTACAGTTTTAGAGGCCTCGGTATGATTGATTTATCTATTCTGGTCTTGGTTAGAGTATGCAGGCATCAGGATCGCAATATCATAGGGATACTAGTCAGACGAGACCCCTAACACATCGTTGTGATCAGTGCGGCAATTCCCACTTTGGACTGTGCCGTCAAGGTTCTGATGCGTTCTACTCTTGCGGACAACCTGGCCATATAATAGGGGATTGTCCTAATAGAGGAGCCAGTGGTATGGTTTAGTCGGCTGGATCTGTGTCTAGTTCTTCCTCATCAGTTCGACCTCCAACACGAGGTTTTCAGTAGTCGACAGGTTGTGGTAGAGGCAGAGGTGCAGTGTAGAGTTCAAGCGGTACTCAAAATCGAACCTATGCTCTATTAGGTCGACAGGATCTCGAGTCATATCCGGATGTTGTTACAGGTATATTGTCTGTGTTTTCTTATGATGTGTATGCACTGATTGATCCGGGATCTACATATAGTACACCCTTTGTGGCTAATAAGTTTGGCATTGAACCTGAATTGATAAGTAAACCACTTGCGGTATCCACTCCGATAGGAGATTCTATGATTATTAGAAGGGTATATAGAGGTTGCATAGTGATGATTTGTAGTCGTCAAAACTCAGTGAATCTATTTGAGTTATAAATGGTTGATTTCGATGTGATAATGGGAACGAACTGGTTGGCCTTATGCTATGCAAACGTTGATTGTCGTACGAAGATGGTTAGGTTTCAGTTTCCCGGTGAACCCGTTGTAAGCACGTGATTTTTGCCCAATATCAAATACTCCTACAAAATCCAAGAAAATAGATTTTTCTTAGTTATTTACCATTTTTAAGAATTTTTATAGATTTTATTAATTGTTTGCATTTTTCTTGTATGTTTAAGTTTTATTTAAATCATGAAAAATACCAAAAATATCACGCATGACATTTAGGCTTTATTTCTATATTTTTAGGATTAATTGGTAGTATTTGCTTTATAAAAATTTGAAAATCACAAAAAATAGCTCAATTTTACATTTTTATGATTTTAAAAAAAAAAAAAGAAAAGAAGAAAAAAGAAAGAAGTTGAAGAGGACCAATTTTGGGCCTAATCTTTTAATTCCCTTCAGCCCAACACTCCCCTCTCTACAAACCCAAGCCCCAAAACCCGCCAACCCACGACCCGACCCGCCAACCCACTTCCCCCTTCTTTAATTAAACCTTATAGACCTAAGAAGAGATCAGAATATCTGGAGAAGGAGAGACCCCTCCATCTAGGAAAAAAGGGCGCTCCTGAACTTCTTCCTCCTCTCTCATTTTTCAGAAAACAACAGAGCTCCCATGGTGTCACGTTCTTCTTCCCATTCTCTGTAGTTTAAGCGCGCACACTCACACATTTAGACTCATAGAAGCAGCCTTAATTTTGAATCTCAGATTCTAGATCTATAACACAATAAGCTCAAAATCAGAACAAAAAACCAAAAGAAGAACGAGATTCAAAAGGGAATTTCATTAAAAATGTTCCGGGTCAAACTCTGTTGATTGCTGTTGAATTTCGCCGCTGATTCAGTTCAGGGTTGAGCTCCCGATTAGCTGTCGAATTTGCTGTTGAGATTTGCGGGTCCAATTTGGTCCGAGTTTGCTGTCCGTTTGGCTTTGAGGTTGTATTGAGAGACATATCCATGAATAAAAGTTGAAAAGAGAATTTGCTAAAAGTTTGGCCCGTTGATTATTGTTCACTTCTGGTTCTCTGTTGCTTTGGGATCTGCCGAGCTCCGTACTTCCATTAGCCTTCATTCGGCTATTGTTTTCTCCGTTTATCCTGCTTCTAAGGTGCACATTGAATCTTCTATACTCTTGTTCAAGTATATTGATGAATTGATTGGAATTGCTTCTGAATTTGTTGGATGGCTCTTACTTGAGTTCGATTGCTATGTTTTTTTATGAATCAGTAACCTCCCAAGGTGTTATGAAATATCTTTGTTTGATTTCAATTTCACAAACTTGTGCTGTTCCATGATATCGAGCATATTAGACGTGAGTTAAGTAATCCACCAAAAGAGTTTAGATGGCGTCATTTTTTGATTATAGTAATTCAATTCCACAAGCTTAATTTTGTCGTTTTTGTCTGCTGCTGCTTACGCCAATCATTGTCATAGTAAGATCAAAATTTCTCTTCTAGTTGTGTATCCAATTTAAGGTCAGTTTTCTTTTCTTTTAATCATAGGGTGTAACTTGCTAAATTTAAGTAGCCAAAGCACCCATAAGGCACAGAAAGAACGTTTATGTAAATTCAATGTTGAGTGTTTATTATAGTTTGTTTTGGAAAAGGCAAAAGAAAATTGGTAATTGCTAGTTTGGAAAGTTGGTTGATGTGTCATTTGGCATTTTATAAGTTGAGCTTAATACAATGTGAATTTCATCCAAGTTGAAGTTAGGCATGATTAGCGCCTCATTCTGTTAGTTCCAACCTCACTGATTGATTATGCTAACTTCCTTTAAAAAGGGCAGAATTCATTCTGCATGCTCTCGTTTGTTAAATTATCAACTAGTCATATGCATGGCACCTTACAATAACTTATATTATGGTGCCTACCAAAACTACTTGCAGGTGAATCTGTTGGAAGTCTGAGATGTTTTTCTTTATATTTGATAGTCTAGAATTCATTCTACATGCTAATCTCAATGAGTAGTCTAGAATAATAATCTTTGAACATCCGTAGTTTTAAAAATAATTTGAGGCGTGCCATGCCAAATAAAATCCCAAAACCCATGGCCCTCATGGACTAGTTTTAAAAACCTTTTGGCTAGAATAACTCGAGGTGTGCCATGCCGAACAAAATGATAATTGCATGGCCCATTAATAATTAAGTGGTAGGATGTGGGCCTTCTACTTAAGTAGCATGCTTGAGTTAAGAGGTTTGCCTCTTGTTCAAGTGTGGACTTGAACTTGAGGCCCGAAGTCCTTAATTACTTTAATTAATAGCAATCCGTATTGTTAACCAATTAGGGCCCTTTAGAGACATTCCGTACTAAAAACAATAGTTACTTTAGGATTGACCTTTAAATAAAAAGGTGGGACGAGCCTCGACCAAAATTAAAAATGCAAATAAATTGCGGGGCCCTCATTAAATGCTTTATTAAAAATATTTTAGAAATTCGGGACATGCCATTTAGCGAATTTTCATGGCTTCCCGCAAAGTTAATAAGACGCTAGCCACTTTAGGCGCGCTTTTAAAAATTTTACCTTCTTAAATACGGGTGTGCATTTCATGCGACCCAAATCCAAATTCCAAAACGTTGAATAAGAGGTGTTGAGGATCCGGGTGCATTTCATGTGACGTGATCCAAAAACACGCTCTTAAACGGCGTTCACTTTCATAAAAAAAAAAAAACTAATTAAAAGCGGTTAAGCAAATTTATAAAATTGCACTATAGGTTTGAACATGTATAAAAACCGGATTTTTAGCCATTTATAATAATTTAAGCGACCGTGCTAGAACCACGGGATCCGGGGGTGCCTAACACCTTCCCTCGGGTCAACAGAATTCCTTATTCAGAATTTCTGGTTCGCAGACTCCAATTGAGAAGTCGACAATTTTCCTCGATTTGGGATTTAAGTTAAACCAGTGACTTGGGACACCAAAAGCCAATCCTTTCCCAAGTGGCGACTCTAAAAATAAACAAAATAATTCCATTTCGAATAATGTCACTTTAAATGGAAAAACTCCCTTATACATTATCCTTCGGGGTAGGTGTGTAAAAAATGAGGTGTGACACCCGTCATTGAATGAAAGAACATTGCTATGCCGAAAGATAGGTTTACTTCCTATATTAAGGATATGAAGATGATCTCAAAAGGTCACATTTATCATCTCGTTCGCGTTAGGGATGCGGAGGCGAAACTGCCTACTCTATAATCAATCTCCGTGGTCAATGAATTTCTAGACGTTTTCCCAGATGAACTCCTAGGCCTTCCTCCTGAAAAGGATATTAAGTTTAGCATTGATGTGTTGCCTGACACTCAACCGATATCTATCCCTCCATACAGGATGGAACCAGTAGAGTTGCGAGAGTTAAAGACGCAGTTGAAGGATTTGATGGAAAAGGGCTTCATTAGTCCTAGTACTTCACCTTGGGGTGTGCCAGTGTTGTTCGTGCGGAAGAAAGACTAGTCGTTAAGGAAGTGTATCGATTATCGATAGTTGAATAAGGTTACTATAAAGAACAAGTATCCATTTCCAAGGATTGGCGACCTGTTTGACCAACTCCAGGGTGCCAAGTATTTCTCAAAGATTGAATTACGTTCAGGGTATCATCAGGTGAGGGTTAAGGAGAAGGATATTCCGAAGACGACCTTCCAAACAAGATATGGGCACTTTGAGTTCTTGGTGATGTCTTTCGGGCTAACAAATGCCTAAGCAGCATTTATGGATCTCATGAATGATGTATTCAGACCATATCTTGACGTGTTCGTGATCGTATTCATTGATGACATTCTCGTGTATTCTCGTTCGGAGGCAGAATATGCGGGCCACTTGTGGAGAGTATCACCGACCCTTCAGGATCGTAAGTTATATGCTAAGCTTTAGAAATATGAATTCTGGATGAACTCAGTAGCATTCCTTGGCCATGTGATATCTGATAAGGGTATTAGTGTCGACACTTAGAAGATCGATGCAGTGAAGAATTGGCCGAGACCTACAACACTGTCAGAAGTCCGTATCTTCCTAGGGTAACAGGATATCATAGGCAATTTGTAGAAGGGTTTTCCTCTATATCAGCACCACTGACTAAGTTAATACAGAAAGCTCCCAAGTTCCGGTGGTCTGACGTTTGTGAACGTAGTTTTATGAGCTAAAGAATCGATTGACATTCGCGCCAGTGCTCACTCTCCCAGAAGAAACATAAGGTTATGTGGTATATTGTGACGCCAAGTAAAGGCTTGGGGTGCGTATTGATGAAACAAGGAAGGTGATTGCTTATGCATCGAGACAATTGAAGAAATATGAAAAGAATTACCCGACTCATGATTTGAATTGGTTGCAGTAATATATGCTTTGAAGATATAGCGACACTATTTATATAGCGTCTATTTTGACATCTACACAGATCACAAAAGTTTACAATACATCTTCAAGCAGAAGGAGTTGAATTTGAGGCAACATAGGTGGCTTGAATTACTGAAAGACTACGATGTCGAGATATTGTGCCATCCAGGTAAAGCCAATGTTGTGGCAGGCGCCCTCAGCCATAAGTCAATGGGAAGCTTAGTACACATTAAGGCAGGTAGACAAGGGTTGACTAAAGAGCTTCATCAGCTGGCCAATATGAGAATCAGATTGTTAGACTCTGATGATCGAGGTGTTATTGTACAGAATACATCAGAATTATCTTTGGTAACCGAGGTAAAAACACAACAATACGAAGATCCTACCTTAGTACAATTAAGGGAGGGCATTCAGTAGCGTAAGATTACAACTTTTGAGATCGGAGGAGATGGGGCACTAAGATGTTAGGGCCGATTATGTGTGCCTAATGTGTTAGGGTTGCGAGAAAAGGTTATGATTGAGTTTTATTAGCCCCGATATTCCATCGATCTTGGATCGACAAAGATGTATCATGATGTTAAGGAGCTGTATTAGTGGGATAACATGAAGAAGTCTATTGCTGAATTTGTAGCCTAGTGTCCTAATTGTCAATAAGTAAAGATCGAGCATCAGAAACCCGGTGGATTGATTCAGAATATAGAGATTCCGACCTGGAAATGGGAGGTTATCAATATGGACTTCATTATTGGATTACCTTGCTCTTATCATAAGTTTGACTCCATCTGGGTGATAGTTGATCGACCTACAAAATTGTCCCATTTTCTGCTAGTTAAGACAACTTACACGATTGAAGATTATGCGACGTTCTATAACAAGGAGATTGTTAGGCTTCATGGTGTGCCAGTATGTATTATATCAGATCAAGGAGCTCAATTTACAGCTAACTTTTGGAGGTCTTTTCAGAAGGGTTTAGGCACATAAGTGAATCTCAACACTGCATTCCATCCGCAGACTGATGGATAGGCTGAACATACCATTCTCACACTCGAAGATATGCTACGAGCATGTGTTCCAGATTTCGAGGGGAATTGGGATGACCATCTTCCACTCATAGAATTTGCCTACAATAATAGATACTATTCGAGTATTAAAATGGCCTCGTATGAGGCAATGTAGGGGAGGAGATGTAGATCACTAGTTGGATGGTTCAAATTCGGCGAAACAGAATTATATGGGCCAGATTTGATTCACCAAGCCATTGAGAAGGTGAAAGTGATACAAGAATGGCTGAGGACGGCTCAAAGCAGGCAAAAGTCTTATTCTGATTTGCGACATCGTGATCTGGAGGTTGAGGTTGGTGATTGAGTTTTCTTGAGGATCTCACCGATGAAGGGTGTTATGCGTTTTAAAAAGAAGGTAAGCCGAGTCCGCAGTATATCAGGCCGTACAATATTCTTCGACGAATTGGACATGTTGCTTATGAGTTAGAATTGCCATCCGAATTGGAATTGTCACCTGTATTCC